AGAATTCATTATTGAGCCAAGAAAAGGTGGGTGCTGTAAAAATTGGGGCAGAATTAAAATGCTGTGTGTATTATAGTTTACCATTAATGGCCAGTTTATATCAAAACTGAGAGTCCTCTGGATAAAGCTGATCTCATTGATGCTTGTTAGGCCAGGTTGAAATACCTGGATAAGGTTAAGGGTATGAGAGACTGGCCAAAGTTTATGTTTAGAGATAAGCCAGTAGGCACACAGATGTGAGCAGAAAAGATAGGTACAGGCCCTATTTTGGTTTCTGATGAAGGCCTGACAGCAGCAGCATATACAGGTGGGTCGAGAGGTCTGGAGGGGCAAACTGTAATAACTGTAGCTACTGCTTATGTGCTCCAGAATGTGTCCAATGTGGTGGACAGGATTTCTTTGTGGTGAGGGATTAAGAGGGACAGTTTCAGTGGTAGAAGTAGGGTCTTTCTTGTATATGTTGGTAGCAAGGATGGAATTCTTTGGATTAAAATTCTGTATGGGGAGAGGTATTCTTAGTTCTGTACCACTTGACAGTAAGTCCTTGGCTAAGGCAGGTGCTTAAATATGGTGTATTCAGTAATATACACACTGAAAAACTTCAGACAGTACAAGTGGAGTATCCTTTGCTTGGCCTTTCCCAGAGGTGATCTCTTTTACCACTTTCTGTTATATCTTTTCAGACTATATCTATGCATGTATGATTTTATATATAAAGAGATTTTAAAAAATATGTGTCAGTATACTAAAAATATTGTTCTTACATACCTTAACATTATATTTTCAACATCTTTCTACATTAGTATATAGGCAGTGTTTCTCAAAGAGGGTGCCATTGGCATTTAAGTGAGAAGATTCTTAGTTGTGTACACTGTCCCATTCATTATAGGATCTTTGCCCCCACTTTTTATATACCCACTAAATGCCAGTTACTTTTGAAATTACTATATTATAAATGAGGATATTTCAAAAAGTTTATAGAAAGATTCATGTTATCTTTTAATTCTATTTCGCAAATTTTTTGAAGTACCATCATATATTTTCTCTGTTCTGTTTCTGCTCCCATTGAATTCTGCTGTTTATCTGACTGGCCTAGGTATATTTTATAGTTTTCAGACTCTCTGCACATATTTGGTAGGGCCTGTAACATTGTCATGATATTCTTGGATTCTGTAGCTATTCCCGATAGCTGTTTCTCCTTTCTTTTGATGTTAAGTAGTCCATTATAACTATTTCTTGAATTGTGTCTGCTGTGGGTTTGTTTACTGATAAGAAATACCAGAAGACACCAAGGTCGAGGGTTCAATCCCTGTACAAACTAGCCACCAAAAAAAAAAAAAAAAAAATGCCAAAAGTACCTGCAAAGCTGTATGTCCTCTTAAGATCTACCTGAAAGAAATGTGTGGTTCTCCTAATTGAGCAGATAACAGACAGTAGAAAGATGTAAGAGAATGCTGTTTTCATCTTCCAGTTGTATTCAGAATAAACGTTTAAATCAGAAGGAAATGAGAAGTGTGATGCATTGCTCTGAGACAGCTTTTATTGCTTTCTTTTATAAGGTGTAAGTCTTTTTATTTGAAGGAATTTGAGACTCTAGATACCATAGAAGTTTGATTTTTAAAAAATCTCTGTCAATGGGCCAACCCCATGGCTCACTTGGGAGAGTGCCACGCTGGTAGTGCTGAGGTTGTGGATCCTATCTAGGGATGTCCGGTGCACTCACTGGCTGAGTATGGTGTGGACCACACCATGCTGAGGGTTGCGATCCCCTTACCGGTCCAAAAAAAAAAAAAAATCTCTGTCAATGAGAGAAGGCTTTATAGTAATTTATAGTTTATCAACAAAACTTGTAATCAGAGGTTGAAATAATGTTGAAGCATAGAGAACTCTACCACTTCTGGCATTTTGGAGAAAAGCATTAAATAGCTAATAATGGATTATATATAGATACATTTTTATGTCAGGTTTGAGAGAGGGGATCCTTGTCTGTGCTCAAGGTAGAAGGTAAAGGAAGGAAGGAGGGTACTTTATTGGATCAAGAAAAGGTTCCAGTTTCTGACAGAAGCAAGCAATAAGGGGGATTCCTTTAATGAGGGAAAAGAAGTCTTTTATTTTCTAATTAGAGAGGATAAACTTTAGAGTGAATGAGTGTGGATTTTGTACATTTTTATTTAGTCTGTGGATTACTAAATTGATGACTGGATGTTAGGGAATGGAAATGAAGAGAGCTGGAGACTTGGACATTTTGCAAAGTATGTATGTGGAGGGAGAAGAGCAGATAAAGGGAAGCAACGGTGGGAGTGGGATAGGAAAGACTCAAATGTGGAAGGTTGTGTGTAAAGAAGCCGAAGCTACAAGACAAACACACTTGTTGCATCTTGTCTAGGGTTATAGAAATGTTTTATTTGAAGCTGCAAATAAAATTGCAAATTGAATAGTATTGTTTAATTTTATATTTCATTATTGAGGTATTAGTAATGTTTCCAATACAGACAATTTAAGATAGATTCCAGGTTTTGTTTATTTATATGTTTTTAATCTTTTGGTGTCTCTTCTTCAGTTCACAGTATATGTTGCTTTTTTCCCCTTTATCATTTAAGGAAGAACTTCAGATATCACTTTTAAAACTGAACAATGACTATGAAGTAATGAAAAGTACAGCTGCAGGAGATATGAGCTTGGAGTCAGAATTACATGACTTAATCAGAATTACATGACTTAAGACTTAGTTTGGAGGCAAAGGAACGAGAACTCAATCAGAGTATTAATGAAAAGGAAATACTGCTATCCACGTTAGGAGAATTGGACAAACAGAACGAAGAAGCTACAAAGGTAATATTATATTAAAGACAGTGAGGTAGCACATTTTACTCAGCAGACTGAACACTGGGTTAACATGTAAAAATGATGGGCATAATTTAATTTTGTGATTTAATTACTATTTTAGTTCACCGATGCTCTACTCATAGAAATTGCCAAATACTAAAGTGCTTTTGGCTTTTCAGACCATGTAGTCTCATTTGAAACTACTCAACTCTGCTGCGTGGCCATGTTTCAATACGATTTTATTTACAGAAACAGATGCAGGCCTGATTTGGCCTCCAAGATGTGGTTTGTTGACTCCTGCTCTAGTGTTTAAGAGTTGAAAATAAAGAACATATATAGTTTCCCTTCTTCGGTAAAATGGACTTGCTGTAAGATACTAGTAAATACCTTTGTAGGGGATGTTGGGATAGGAAAAAGGTTGTTTTTAAGAAAGATTAGAATTATCTGAGGATAATTCTATTATGTATGAAATTTTGTGAATTTTTTTTATGTACTAAAATAAAATTTTGTAAAGTTACCATGCATATTAATTTTTCTTTCAGCACATTATTTTGATAAAAGATCAGCTATCAAAACAACAAAATGAAGGAGATAGCATTATCAGTAAACTGAAACAAGATCTAGATGATGAAAAAAAGATAGTTCATCAACTTGAGGATGATAAAATGAACCTTACTAAAGTTTTAGACATGCAGAAAGAAAAGTTAATTCAAAGTGAACTGGTCCTGAATGATTTGCATTTAATCAAGGAGGAGCTTGAGGATAAAGTTGAAGATTTAGTAGATCAGCTAAGTAAATCACAAAAAAATAATTCAAACATCCAGAAGGAGAACCTTGAACTTAAGGAACATATTAGACAAAATGAGGAAGAGCTTTCTAGAGTCAGGAATGAGTTAACTGAGTCTCTTAATCAAGACTCTAATAGTACTTTTAAGGATAACTTACTTAAAGAAAGGGAAGCTGAAGTTAGAAACTTAAAGCAAAATCTTTCAGAAATAGAACAGCTCAATGAAAATTTAGAGAAAGTTGCTTTTGATCTGAAAATGGAAAATGAAAAGTTGGTTTTAACATGTGAAGATGTAAGGCATCAGTTGGAAGAATCTGTAGCTGGGAACAGTCAGATTTCTCTGGAAAAAGACACTATTGTGGAGACCGTAAAAATGGAAAAAGGACAAATAGAAGCAGAATTGTGTCAGGGTAAAGAGAGGCTGTTGGAAGAAGCAAGCAAGTATGAGCAAAACATTGAAGAACTATCAAATGCACGTAACTCAAGCACCTCTGCCTTACAGCTGGAACATGAGCATTTCATTAAACTCAGTCAAGAGAAAGACTTTGAAATAGTAGAACTCAAAAAGAATATTGAGAAAATGGATACCGATCATAAAAAAATGAAGGAAATTTTGTCATCTAGTGAAGAGGAGCAGAAACAACTGACAGAAGTTATAAAGGAAAAAGAACTTTTTATTGAAAAACTTAAAGAAAAGTGTTCAGAGCTGCAGGAGGAATTAGATAAATATTCTCAGGCCTTAATGACAAATGAAAATTTAAGGCAGACCATAGAGGAAAAGGACAGAAGTCTTGGAGCCATGAAAGAAGAAAACAATCATCTGCAAGAAGAACTGGAACGACTCAGGGAACAGCACAGTCGAGCTGCACCTGTGGCTGAGCCCAAACCACTTGATAGTATTACAGAACTAGAATCAGAGGTATCTCAACTGAATATAATCAAGGGTCATCTTGAAGAGAAAATTAAACATCAACAGAAGATAATTGAAGATCAAAACCAGAATAAAGTGCAACTACTTCAATCTTTACAGGAGCAGAAGAAGGAAATGGATGAGTTTAGATACCAGCATGAGCAAATGAATGTCACACACACCCAGCTCTTTTTAGAGAAAGATGAGGAAATTAAGAATCTGCAAAAAGTAGTTGAACAAATCAAAACCCAGTTGCATGAAGGAAGACAGGACATTCAAACAGAGAATCCTGATATTTTACAAGAAACAAAAGTTCAGAGCCTTAATATAGAAAATGGAAGTGAAAAGCATGATTTATCTAAAGCTGAAACTGAAAGATTAGTGAAAGGAATAAAAGAACGAGAACTAGAGATTAAACTTCTAAATGAAAAGAATATATCTCTAACTAAACAGATCGATCAGTTGTCCAAAGATGAGGTTGATAAACTAACTCAGATTATCCAACAGAAAGATTTGGAGATAGAAGCTCTTCATGCTAGAATTTCTTCAGCTTCCTACACCCAGGATATTATGTACCTTCAACAGCAATTGCAGGTCTATGCTAGGGAAAGAGAACAAGTATTAGCTGTTTTGGATGAGAAGACTAGGGAAAATAGCCATCTAAAAGGAGATTATCATAAAATGATGGATATAGTTGCAGCCAAAGAAGCAGCCCTCATTAAGCTGCAAGAGGAAAACAAAAAATTGTCCACTAGATTTGAAAGTAGCAGCCAAGATATGTTTAGAGAAACTGTTCAGAATTTATCACGTATCATTCGAGAAAAAGACATTGAAATAGATGCATTAAGTCAGAAATGTAAGACTTTATTAGAAGTTTTACAAACATCCAGCACTGGTAATGAGGCTGGAGTTGTTAATAGTAATCAGTTTGAGGAGCTTTTACAGGAACGGGATAAATTAAAACAGCAAGTAAAGAAAATGGAAGAGTGGAAACAGCAGGTGATGACCACAGTACAAAATATGCAACACGAGTCTGCTCAATTTCAGGAAGAACTTCATGAGCTTCAGGCAGAAGTTTTGGTTGACAGTGATACTAATTCTAAATTACAAGTGGACTATACTGGCCTGATCCAAAGTTATGAGCAGAGTGAAACCAAACTCAGAAGTTTGGGGCAGGAATTAGCAAAAGTTCAGTATAACATGGGGCAGCTTTGCAATACTAAAGATCTTCTTTTAGGAAAACTTGATATGCTTTCTTCCCATTTCTTTTCTGGATCATTACTTCCTTCCCAGTCAGCACAGTCTCTTAGAGCAAGTAAATCTGATATATCAAGTGAATCTTCTCAGTTGCTTCAACAAGAGGTAGGAGAGTTAAGGAAATCCCTGCAGGAAAAAGATGCAACAATTAGAACGCTCCATGAAAATAATCACAGATTGTCTGATTCGATTGCTGCGACCTCAGAGCTTGAAGGAAAAGGACATGAACAAACTGATTCAGAAATTAAGCAGCTAAAGGAGGAACAAGATGTTTTACAGAAGTTACTTAAAGAAAAAGACTTCTTAATCAAAGTTAAAAGTGATCAATTACTGTCTTCAAATGAAAATTTCACTAACAAAGTGAATGAAAATGAACTTTTGAGGCAGGCAGTAACAAACCTGAAGGAGAGAATATTAATTTTAGAAATGGACATTTGTAAACTAAAAGGGGAAAATGAAAAAATAGTAGAAACATCTAGGGGAAAGGAAGCAGAATATCAAGCATTACAGGAGACTAATATGAAGATTTCTATGATGCTGCGAGAGAAAGAGTTTGAGTGCCATTCGATGAAGGAGAAGGCTCTTGCTCTTGAGCAACTATTGAAAGACAATGAACAGGTAGGTTCTGGTTGGAGTATTGTAGAGGGAAGTTGGGGGTGGAGGAGACTTCTTTGTTTCAGTTACTTTACTGATATCATCTTTGAAGAGGACAATGAATTTGTTCATTCAAAAATATTCAAGATACAGTCATATGTTGCTAAAGGATGGGGATGCATTCTGAGAAACATCATTAGGCAATTTCGTTGTTGTGCGAACGTCAGAGAGTGTACTTACACAGACCTAGGTGGTTGGTATAGCCTACTACACACCTAGGCTGTATGGTACAGCCTATTGCTTTGATTACTGTCAAATACATGATCAGTCATTGACCAAAGTATTTTTATGGGGTACACAGCTGTATTTTGATTTGAGGTATCTGGAAGTTTCTCCCTCAAATTATTACATATTTCCAAATATTTTTAGTAGTAGGTTAATCTTTTACAGCCTGATAAGTAGGAAAAAAGAGTATAGTAGCAATTAATACCCTTAGAAAATAGAAATTTGTTATAAGAGATATTTTAAAGTCACTTAAACACATTTTAGGCTTATTTCAGTAGCTGCTAGTAGTGGTTAACATCTTAGGGATTCTTATATGTAAAGGAAAGCCCTGTGAAATACTACATCTTTGAACATTATCTATAGTAAGAAATATGCTTTACATTGTGACATAGCAGCACGTGTCCGTGTGTGTGTAAAACTGAAAAGTTTCAAGAACCAGAAATTACCCTTACTACACATGATACTCTATTAAAAAAAAAAACACCCCCAAAACAGTGCTGCATAAACCATTGAATTGATTTTTATGAATCGATTAGTCATAACCTGGAATTTGAAAGGTGTTAGCCAAGAGTAGTAGTTTTCACATAGTAAACTCAGTAAATATTGTAATCCCAGCTCTGTCACACATGTGACTTTGGGTATGTTTTGGCCTTATTGGTTTGTTTATTTAACCATCATATGGAGGGTCATAACAGTTATATGGAAAGTGTCCATTGCATTTCATATAATTAAATTTTTACATGTGTTTCATTTTAATAAGAATTATTGAAGATCTGTTACATCATACTGTGATAGGTGCTGTGTATGGCTTGTTTGGTAGTGCCTTTCTACTCTGATTTCTATACTTTTACTAGTAGAAATTTGGAAAAGAGTTGATAGGCAGAACAATGGAATATTCAGCAAGTGCTTCTTGAGCATTTATGTGTTGCCAGGCACAAGATAAACTTCTTTTGTCAATTAAGTTCTCTCCTAGAGTCTTGGATTAAAGTTGTGAAAACTTACTTCATTTGTTCTTCTTGGCCATATATCTGATTAAATAGGTACACTCATGGTCAGTGGTGAGGTGTTCTCATCCTTCAGAGATAACTTTTTAGCCTTAGTGGTACTGGTCTATAATTGGTGTGAAAAAGACTCTTAGAGGGTACAGCTTCCTATTTATTACTCACTAACCAAATAGGCACAGTGTCTTATGGGTGTAAGACTACAACAGGAGGAATGTAGAACAAGTCTTCTGTTGTAAATATTCTTTTTTGTTTTGCAGTTTTGCATCTTGTACAATTTAGTTCTATTTCATTGACATTTACACATCTAAAGTGTGCAGATTTTATTCGGGCTCTCCTACCTTTTAGGAAGCATCCCTAAGTCAAGTATTACTAAAGTATTACTTGAGGGTAATTCATATAAACTAATTAATTTATTCCAATATTCTATGCAAGGGGTCTTCCAAAAGTTCATGGAAAGATTCATATTTTCTTTTAATTCTGTTTTGTCACAAAATTTTTGAAGTACGCTCATATAATTTGAGTACCTTTAATAGTACATTTTGAGTATAATAAATTACATATTTTGGGGGGAGAAGGGGATCTCCTGTTCTCAGCAGGAGATCTTCAAATCTATATAATTTC